GCAACCCTCAGTGTTGCCCCCGCACCGGGCCGGGGACCGGCAACGGGATTGCAACCCTCAGCGTCGCCCCCATGCCTCGCTCAGCCAGTGAGCGGGAACCGGTCTGTATGTGGGATCCGAACCCTCGAGCAGGAGCGCCACCGCGCTTCCCAAGCGGCGCACTATCCAGTGCGCCACCGGGCCGGCCCTTAAAGCAAAAAATTTTGAAGTAATGATAATTATTTGCTTTGTGTGTGTTAGTTCTTCTAAATTAAAAGTAACCCATTCCTTTGTGTCACTTATTCTTATTCCTGCTTGTGTACTTTCATGTCATGTTATTTATCAGTATAATTGAATAGTTTCTAGAGTGTGTACAGTCTTTGAAGTCTAAATATTTTTTGGAATAACTGGAGTAGGGACATGAAACTCATACATGGAAGTCAGTTATAAAAGAATACATGATCTAGAATCAAATACTAAATTGTGTTTAAATTATCAATGTTATATAGAATTTCAGAGATGGAAAAGATTAATGTAGACTGAGATAAAGACAGTGTCTTGAAGAATACAAGTGGAATTGGATCCTGTGTAGACACAGCTGGGCACATCTTTCTCAGGGGAACATTGGGCCTTCCACTCGTCATCACCCATTTATACAGTTCAGAAAGTTTCAAGATTCCTTGTTGGCTTACTCTTCATCCCCACAGTGATTTGAGCAGTACTGAGCATATAACGGATGCATGGTTAATACTTGGATTAAAAATTAATGAAGAGCATATATAATATGATACTATGTGTTACATATAAATGCATGTTACCGCATAATATAAAAAGCTGTGTTATTTTGTGACATATGACTGAAAAGTAAAAGGGCTTATTTTACACTTACCAGTACTTCTTATTTACAAAAGCAAGTGGTGTTCACCTTCAAAGACATCATCATGGGAGCTTGTACACTCTTTCCCATAACACTGCCATTTCTCAAAATATTTTTGGAACTCCTTTTTTGAATTTCCTTCATAGTCTGTGACTCGTTCTTTTCAGTATCCTCAGAATCTTTTTCAGCTAAGAGTGGGTTTGGTTGGAAGCAGGAGTCACTTAGGGCCAGGTATGGTGAGTAGAGGATCTACTGAGAAATGCTATTTTTGGTTACTGTTTTCAGTGACTATAAATAATGAAATTGTCTTCTAGCATTAAGCTATAATAAAATAACCAAATCTAGTTACCTTAAAACAAAAAATACATTGCAGATTTTTTCATTTTGAAACCAAGTCTGGGTTACTGTTATATAATTTTCCTGCTCCAAAATTGCTCCTGGCTTCCTGAAGCCCAAACGCTGCTCTGCCTCGCTCTCAGTGCCCCACCAGACCCATCTAGTCTTGCTTCCTGCACCCCTGCCACAGAGTCCTCGTCTGAGGCCCAAGTTCTCCGGTGTTCTCAGTCCTTCAACTTAACATGGCTGGGGCCTCCTCCTCTGGGTCCTGCGCATCACCCTGAAGCACCTTTCTTTTCAAGGACCGGTGCAGTGCCTTCTCCCTTCTCTTCTCTCCCCAAGTTCTGTTGAATTTATAGCAAAGCTCCTTTCTTTTTTGGGGGGGAATCTGTTTTTAAAAATCAAATAAAACAAAAAAAGCAATAGGTGCTGTACCAAGGAAAGCGCACACATGAACCTGCAGAATTTTGCACATGAGAAGCTTCTTCATGGACTTGAATTAAGCACCCTCACTCTAATCTGTACCACATAACGATAGGGCTTAATTGTATCGGGTCTTGCATCAGTTCTTAAATGTTTATAGTTGCTAATGTTACCCTTCCAACTAATTCTGAGTTTCTCCAGGGCAAGGAAATAGTTTAGTACTTCTCTGCTTTCCTTACAGTACCTACATTGATGCTGAGTGTGTGATAGCATTCTGCAAGTCATGAGATTTAACAGATTTTTAAAACCAGCTGCCTGACATTATTGCTTTAATGTTCAGTTTTTAAAGGAGACAGAGTCTTAGACTTTTTTTTAATGTTAATATGATAAAAAGCACAATATACTCAGTTACATATTTTGGGGAATCCTGTAAGCCCTCAGGTGACATCCCTAAAATAGGTTTCTCAGGAGATAATCTATATCTTGCTGTTTTGACATGTAACAAATACAGCAAAACTGGAGATGCCATAGATCCTATTATGTAGCTGGACAGATTTTATCCCCTTACACACATGAGGCATCTCCTATTGTTACGAGGAAAACCAATAAAGAATGTGCTATTGTCGTCCCCAGAAGCCAGCATAATCAAACTATAACATATATGGCGAACATTTGACGGGTACTTCCTTTTCAAATTGGCCAAGCCCACATCAGAACTTACACAGTGCCAACTGTATCAGGTTTGGGATATATATATGTATATATTTTTAAAGATGTCTGGTAAGGGGATCTTAACCCTTGACTTGGTGTTGTCAGCACCACGCTCTCCCAAGTGAGCTAACCAGTCATCCCTCTATAGGGATCTGAACCCTTGGCCTTGGTGTTATCAGTACCACACTCTCTCAAATGAGCCATGGGCCAGCCCAGGTTTGGGATATTTTTAATCATAAATTTAAACCCTATTTTACCAAAGTGCTTGCGTGTATGGCTATGCTAATTGTCTGGCTAGGTTAATTGTTGGAATCGTGCCAACTATGCCAATTGTGTTGCTAGGGCTAGGGCTCAGGCCCACAGACCCTTCAAACCCATTGTACAGACTGGGTCACAGACCCCTCGCATGCCAGGCCGGGTCACCAGACCCCTCACATGCCAGGCCGGGTCACCAGACCCCTCACATGCAGATCCATGCTAAGTAATTGGGAAAGATCCCAGGAGCCAGTGGCAGACAACAGCAGCTCAGTGTTCAACTTCCTCAGCAGCAGCAGCAGAGCTTACAGGTCCAGCAGCAGCAGCAGTGGTGGCAGCGGTGGCCTCTTGGAGCATCCCGGGGCCCTGGCAGCAACAGCGTCCAGCAGCAGTCGCAGCCTACCCACAGTACCCCTGGGGGTGTCCTGGGGGCACAGGGCCCCATGGATCAGAGCCACTCATCCTTTATACTTAAGTCCGATAACCGAGGACACCTGGGTGCGAGTCAGACAACCCACGAACACCTGTGTGCACATGCACAATTACATTAGACAATAACCAAGGAACACCTGGGTGTGTGTGCATATTTACATCAAATGCTCGGCAAAACTCCGAACCCCCCAAGGGACCCTGACCATTTATTCACTTTCCCTACGTTGGGGTAAAAATATTCTATATAATGTAACTTTCAGATTAACTGAGTGCTTAAAACTTGAACATTTGGTAAAATGGAGGATAGAGCAGTTAATTTACCCCTTATTATTGTAGCACTCCGTAGCTGACAAAAACGTGAAAGATTAGAGTGTATACACCCAGACATGTCCTAAAAGTCTGTTTGTTGGCAGTGGTGGATTTGTCTATGTGCCTTTTTTTTAACAGATTCATTTCATCTACTTATTTTTCTCATTTGCTCTTTCCTAAAAGCAGAGATTTTGATTTGTTGCAAATTACTTGAGGTTTTTGCAGGATAATGGCTTCTGGGTTCTTCAAGGGAGGAATTTCTGTTTTGATTGTTGAACCATACTTCAAAGATGATGTAAAGAATTTGCTGAAATATTCATGCCAAAACTCATTAGACTTTAATATATTGTGGATAATTTTACTATATTAATATCTTTGTTCTCTTCTATATCTAGTTAAAAAATCTAAGTTTAGAAGAACTACAGATGCGGTTAAAAGCACTGGACCCCATGATGGAGCGAGAAATAGAAGAACTTCGTCAAAGATACACTGCAAAAAGACAGCCCATTCTGGATGCGATGGATGCAAAGAAAAGAAGGCAGCAAAACTTTTGAGTCTAATTTCTTCTCTGTTTATTTTTATAGCTATTCTGGAGACCAAGAAACCACTAGAAATTGAAGAAATATTATGTTGTTTTTTTTTTTTAATCCTAAGATTTATGCTGTACAACTAGGCAAAGGCAGAATTTACAATCGTATCCACTATGTTTTCACTTTTAAATGATGAGAACAACAGAAATGTATTTCTCTTTTTCTGTCAACCACATACCAGCAATAAAACTGTTATAAAATGAAGGCAGTGTTTAGAGACCTTGAAAATCCAAAGCTATTGTTTAATTGTACAGCACTGAAGGGCTTTATGTTATAATATTCTTTATTCCTACCTAGTAGCCTATTTATTGTATCCCCTTAGGTAAACTTATTTATTTATGCTATTTCACTTTGTTTTGTTTTTTAAAGAGACAATCAGGATAGCTTTGGTGAAGGTAGGGTCATGTTAATAGATGATAATGTACAACCAAATTCTACTTTAAGCAGGGAGCTACGGGATACATTCCTTGATTTCCAGGACAGTTTTCCAGTAGAAGCAAAGCAATAATAACAGTAGTACCCAGATGGGCTAGGCATTTTTTACATTGAAGCAATAATTCCATTTTTACCTTTTGAAATTGTGTTTAATTTTTGATTTTTGATGCTTGGTACAAATAGAACTGTATATATTTAGGTCAAACAGAGCTAAAATGTTTCAAACCAAAGAAATCCATGAAAGCCTTGCACAAAAAAGTGTGGTAAATATTTTTAAAGAAGTGAAACCTTAAGACAAATGTAATTTGTTGATATTGTTTCATGTTTCATGTATAGGTCTGAAGCTAAACTGAAGCAAACTGTAATAAGCTCATCAAATCTATTTCTGTGAAAATGTGCTCTATTCTCACAGGACTTATTTTGTTGATTTCATTCATTTCTTGGGAATTGGTTAACATCATGTGCCTGATATTAACAAAATAGCAAAAATATTTGTAGTGAACTGTGCAAGCCTTGGAGACGGGGGGGGGGGGAAATGATTAAAACTGTTAGAAAGAAATTCATTTCTAAGCTAAATGAACATTTGTATGATTGAACCGGGACCAGTCATTTCCTAAGCTACATATGGCCATCTTGACAGTGTTTGTTCCTTTGTGTGTTTCATTACTATGTTTAAATCATAAAGACAAATAAATTTTACAGTGCCACCCAGCACATTTTATCTCGGTATTTTTTTTTAAACTCATGACCTGGGCTGTGTCTTTTCCAAGCAAGGAAGGCGTATTAGAACAGACTAGATTATGCAGCAGTAACAACCCTAAAACTTCAGTGGCTTAACATAACCCAGGTTATTCTTCACTCATGCTCCAGGCCCACCCAGGTTGGCAGGGCGCCCTGCTCCTGTCATCCACACCCCAGTACATGCAGATGAGGCCTCAACCAGCTGTAGTATTTGTGGCCACCACAGTAAGGGAAAGGTACACTGGTGAGTCTCATGCTCACTCCATCCAGCAGCGACATATGCCACTATATGGTATTCAGAACTAGTCAAACGGTGACTCCTAATTTCAAAGGAGCAGGGAAGTGCAACCTTACCACGTAGCTGGAGGGGCCTGAACAGGAAGTGCTGGTGAGTTCACTGATGTCTGCCACAGAAGGTATGTCATCTCTGGAAATCTTCCAGTCCTTTTAAAGTGGCATTTGTGGGCCCACCCCGTGACCCAAGGCATGGAGAAGGGGACCGGCCCACCCTTCCACAACCAGGCACACCTTGCCAGTGCCTTGGGCCCACCCGGTGACCCAGGGCATGGAGGAGGGTACCGGACTACCCCCCCCCCCAGCCAGGCACACCATGCCAGTGCCTCAGGGCCTGCCCACAGACCTGAGACATGGAGGAGGGGACCGGACCCCCCTCCCACAACCAGGCACACCACACCAGCACCTTGGTGCTCACACAGGGACCAGAGGCATGGAGAAGGGGACCAGACACGCCCCACAACCAGGCACACCACCACCGCCAAGGATCATGCCAAAAACATCACCTCCATGTGGTGGCCCCCCACAGCCACCACAATAACCAAGGCTGCCGCAAAAGTGGCTAGACACCACAACCACCACGCAGATGGTCCACCAGCCACTGGAATGCGTTGACACAAGGAGAGTCACCAGAAGAGATAAAGAAAGGAAGATGATGTCTCTCTCCACAAAGCCCATTTCAGAGTGACAGAAGAAGCATCTGCTCTATGATAATATTGGGGGACCTGATCACACCTCTCAGCATTGGACACATCATCTAGGCAACAAATCAACAGAGTAACCATTACTCTTTCAGAAGGAGAGAAGAAATCTCGGGTAATTAGAAGGGGGAGGGGGAGAGATTGGACAGGAGGCATAAAGAATAATTATGATTTGTAACAATATATATGCTAGTAATATTGACTTGATCAACATCTCAATGTTGAACCCCAAAAATATGTATAATCAATTTTGATTCAATAAATAAAATTTTTAGAAAAATTTTAAAATTAAAATAAAATAGCATTTGTACCCCAAATAATGCCTTGAAGAGTGGCATTTGTCTCTGCTCTGTTGAGTCCTTACAAATAGTAAATTGTGTAATTGGATACAAATTAGAAGATTGTAAAAATAGTGGTAAATTTGAAAAATATATGAAAGTTATTAAAAATGAAGACTGAATTTACAATACATGCTTCAGCTACATCCTTATTGGAGTCTGTTTGGGACAGCCAGGTGAGTAGATCTTCTCAAACACTCTACCCTTTTTTTCCTGTCTCAATAGCTTTTCTTTTCACTAACCTGTCCAATACTTTGTCTAATCTGATGGTATCAGACGAGTGATTTGCTATCATCCAAGAAAAACTACCCACATGAAATGGATAAGAAACTTATGAAAATGATTTCTTTATAGTTTGCTAAATTAAAAAATTTATGCAAATTAATTCGATGAGGCCCATTAATCATACTTACTAATTCATTCTCAACAAGAGCCCTCCTTTTAGAAATGTTGAATGTTTCAATGATGTAATCTTTATGTAAATAGACTTTATACCCTACTGTTATATCTGTGTCTATTTAAATATGTATACATGAAAACACACAAATGTATTTAAGAGAATTAAGAGCAATGGGCATTCTTGTATTTTAGAGCCATAGGAAACCCCAAAACATTTTAGGATAATCTATTTTAAAATTTTTCCTATCTTCTTACTCCCTGTTGCCACCAATCAAAAAAAGGAAAAGATAAGTTTTGAAGAACTACAAGCCATGAAAGAAACCTTCAATTCTAATTAATCCTTGATTAGTCATGATGCTTAGTAAAGAGAGTTTTCTACATATTTTAATGAGTTTAAGAAGAAACCTCTTATTTTAATCTTGGTTGCTGAGAACTTTCCAAAAATAAGTAAATGTACTTTCTGCCCACCCCCGTCCTTTAATAAATACAGTAGTATGAATGTAATTGAGTCAGGGTTTGATCTCGCTGAAAAGCCAGCATCATTGTGTATATTGTCCTGTAGATGAGAAAGTTTTTTTATTTTTACTTAATGAACTTAGATGACTCATTTCTACAAACTTACAATCCACTTTGACAACTTATTTTTAGAATAGTTTTACATTCAGAATATGAGCTAATTTAGCCAATATAAATTGGAGAAGAAAATATTTAAATGGATTTCAAAATAACGTCTATGTTGGGGGGCACTTACTATGTGTCAGACAAGCTTATATATATTACTTACATGCTTTTATATTTCTTACCTCTGCTTATTTACTGAATCACATCCCCAAGGTTTAAAATCATGCTATACTCACTGAAGGATATGTAGCTTCTCTAATGTAAATTACATAGTACATTAGTAAGATGTTTTTAACTTAGTCATAGGAAATCTTTTCAAGTTACTGACACATTAGCATTCAATAGATAATGCTATTTTCATTTCCTATCCTCTATGTTAAAGATAGATGATTAAAATAAGTTCTGAAAAGACTAATGATATTCTAAATAGAACATCATTTAAAAAAAATGGAGTTACATTACAGTACTAAACTATTGTTAGGCACAGGCATTTAATTAGGCATTTCATCAAAATGCTGTTTTAGAGTACTAGGTATTCTCTTTTTGGCACAAAAGGCTAGGAATCTGGGGTCTAATGAGGACTATTTTTGTTTGCTGTTTTAGTAATAGATGAGACCTGGGCCCAAGGGAGTTTCATAAGCCTTAATTGGGTGGTCTGGTGCCACTGAGTGGTAACTTGTCCTCCAGAGGGTCATTCAGCTTCTCCCTGTTCCACGTCTACACGGAACACCTCAACCTCAGCCAACCATGTCCCATTTCCATTTGGGGTCACAAAAAGACTCCAAGGGAGAAAGCAGAGGACCACCTCAATTTTTCCACCAATCTTGGAAAACCAATTCCAAATCCATGCTCTTCTCACACTGGACCATATCATTAGCTAGAGTATCTACCACTACTTTCTTGATTAAACTACCTAAGTAAAAATTGTTATTATTATTTTTTTAATCACATTTCTGCTCACAGAATTTTGCCTACCAAGTTGAGAACAAACTCTGCTTCGTGGCATTCAAGACCCGCAGTGTGCCTCAACTGACATTTAATGACCTCATCCTCCCATTATTGTTGTATTTGAACCTTTCCTCCCACAAACTGAATTACTTCCAAACTCTATTATAATTATCATATTTATCCTCTGAGTCGTAAAGTTCCTGAAAGCAGACTTGGTGTTTATCCATCTTGTTTCTTCATGGTGCTTGCCAGTATATTAGATATAACTTAGTATTAAATACAGTTTGATTGCATACAGTGAGCACAAACAACAAAATTGTCATCTTTAATCATATAGGCTGTCTCCTTAGCATCAGATAATCACCATAACAACAACAATGTATCAACCATCTTTTGAGCATTTACTGAGCCATGAGCTTTTGATACATTATCTTAAAATTTCACAAAATGTGTATTCCTTATGATGAAAAAGTATGATAGAAAAGATTGGAGAGATTAAATGAGGTCACACACCTAGTTAATGCCAGGATGAGCTTTAAATTCCCATTGTGTGCTCCAAAATCTTTGCATTTTCCACAGGTCACATTCCCTAATAAACACATGAGGTCCAACTTTAGAATGTCGGACAGGGTTGCTAAGCCTGCCTGCTGGTCTATCTTAGGAGGTGGCTCTTCAGTTAAAACTTAGGAAAGGACCATTGTTTAGCTGACTTTACCTTTTTCACATCTCAATGGAACCTACATTTTCTGAAATGGCATCCTTTCTAGACATAGAAAGATATGCAGGGTGCATTTACTCAAGCTTCCAAGATGAGTTGTACCAAATGATTTTTTCCTTTATTAGAATATATGTGGAGTTCTTGTGCCTTGAAAACTATGTTTTTTTGTACACTATAATGTATTCTGTTTTCTCCCTTACCAGTCTTTCTTTGATAATGGGTACTTTAGAAAAACATTAACCAGCATAGTCAAAGGAGCCTGGCATCAGAAGTTACATGATTTGGGTTCAAATCCCAGTTCTTCCTTTATACCTTTGTTGCCCTGGGCAAAAATAACCTTTCAACCAATCTGTGTTTTAATTTCTTCACCTGCAGTAATGCAGCAATGGTGAAGATCAAATGTTCTAGAACATGTAAAATATTTAACAAAGTTCCTGGCATGTGACACATAGATACTAGCTTAAAAAATAAACCTTTAACCCCTTTCAGTTCAGTACATTGTTTCTGCAAGAATGAAGAAAAAGACTCTGTTCAAATGTATGCCCCTAACGTTTTGTTTCACTAAAGTTTTAGCATTCTTGGTCCTTACAAATATGAATCATGTAATTGATTTGGTCCCAATTTACTTTGGTCCTAGAAAGCTCAAAATCAAGTTGATATTTTAACAGCTTTTGATCTGCATATCTACATTTTGTCACCGCTCCCAGGGTGACAGAGACGCAAAGGATTACTCAAAGCCCATTTCTCCAGAGCAGTGAGATGCTCAGA